GAAAGTAGTGAATAGGTCAACATACATGATTCTACAGGTAGCTCAGCTCAAACTACAGCAGTTTCACAGTAGAGTTCAATAAGTCAACATACTGATTCTTCAGCTATTTCAACTCAAACGACAGCAGTTTCTCAGTAGAGTTAAATAAGTCAACATACATGATTCTACTGGTAGCTCAGCCTCAAACTACAGCAGTTTCACAGTAGAGTTAAAGAAGTCAACATACCTGATTCTTTCAGTAACTCAGAATCATGGTCATCAACAAGCGATTTCTTCTGTAATTCTTCAGTTCTGTAGTAAAATAGAGAAGTAACAGCGTAAATTTGATTACACATATTATTAGCTGTTTATTTTATAGTTAAAAGAGCAAAGCCTACCCAAAACAAACACAAAATGGATGTACAACATTATTCCAGAATGCCCCGAAATATAAGTCTTTGAATATCTTAAAATTGTTCACCAAAATGTTATCGCAGCATTTTGCACAGTTTTTCTATATAATTTCTTTGATAATTTTTGATAAAAATTAGCAATTGCCTCTGGGTATATGAATATAAACAAAAATAATGCAGGTTTAGTTTTTGGCGAGATTGTTGGTATTTGATTTGTGTTATACTGCCCTCAACACGGAACTTGTAGGTGGTTTGTTTTTATGAGGTAAATGTTTTCTCCAGTATATAAATACGACTATAACTAATGCCGTTTCACACATCAAGATTAGTTAAATCAAAATTTCCGACTAATACTGTTTCTCACAATTATAAAAACAGAACTGACCTAATCACAGAATGCCATTCAGAATATGAAACAGCTCAAACTTGAAAAAAGTGAACAGATGTGTTTAATACTTCTGTATGATTTTCAGTGGTTTGCTGTGAGCACCATGGAAGTTTATTGCCATTGTCATTGCTAAAATATTTCCAAAATAGTAATGAATTACATTTATCGTTGTTTTAGTTTTTGTCTTTTTATTTGCTCGTCTGAGTCAAACATCTTAACGAATATTAATCTCATTAAACAATGCTTGCTGAAGTAATTTGAAACAAATGTTATGGATGACCAAATTAAAAATGTTTTTTTTCCCAGTAGTTGCAGACATTCAAAGATTTCACTTTCTCTACAGACTATTAGTACATGTATGTGTGAAAAAGGTTGCTAAGGAAACACACCAGTTCAGTGCGTGACTTGGGGTCAAATTTCAGTCAACACACACACACTTGATGTCAGCATCGCCGCGCAGTAAGTTTCTCAATGAAGTACTTGAAGTTCAATTGCTCCCCCAATATAATGTCACTGATCACTCAGTTGTCGCAGCATATGTTGTACCAAGTCTACAATACACCCCATTTCGATTTGGCTTGCTTTTCCTTCTTAGTGCATGATCTCGTTCATGTAAATGTATTAAAACACTTTTATATTTAGCGTGATTATATTTGGTCTATGCGAAAAATAAATTTTTTCTAAACATTTTTTGAAACCATGCATTATGTATATTCGCAAAATAATGTGATCATATTTTACAGTATTTAAATTTTCATTTGAACTTTGTGTCAATGTAATCCTTTCAATTTCCTAGTCCTTTGTGTCCTTTCATGGTCTTGACAATAAGTGTTATTTGCTGTGCGAGCTTTTCATACAGGATCGCAGTCAGCCAGCACCATAAAATCTATGCATAAATTTGCATAAAAGGTGGTCGACCTGCGACCGCCGACGTCTGCCGCGGTGATGACCAGGGTGCACCGCCAGTTTGATTTCTTACTCTCCCTTACGCAACAACCAGACAATAAAACGCAAACACCGATGGAATCTAATTCAAAATGAAGTTTCATCTATAAATGGGCTTAATCTTGGACTGCATACTGGAACTCTAGTGAGAAAAACTTTTTTTTTTTTGTATTTTATGTTTTTTTGTGCCCAGCGACAGTTCTGAACATTGAATCTCACTGTTGTCTCTCCAGACTTTTTTTTGTATGTGAAAGTTGCAAGTGCTGACATATAATAAAAAAAATTACCGTGACTCTGTCTTTGCTTTAGGTGGACTAGTGTGTTTCCATAATCTACCATTTGTCTTGCAGTCAGAGCTTCTGTGAGATGACGGGGACGATAAAGATGAAGGTGATGTTCCTAAAAGTCTTTGAACTTGCTTTAGACCCTGAGGACTATCACATTTTACAAGTGGAATCGTTATCTCTCTAATTAAACAAACAAATGTTTGTAACAACAATAAACAATCATTGCTTAAAAATAATAATAAAAATAAGAAATATAATAGAACTAAAAATTAATCATGCAAGAATTATCGTTAGTAGAAAAGAGAATGCAACTGCAGTAAATGTTGTGCTAATGTTATAATAAGGGATTAATTTTTCACTCAACAAGAATATTGCCTCCATAGACCAGGCGATAACTGATTGGCTACAGGTTTGAGTTGACAAACAGCCAGCCAGTCAGTCAGCCATTTTGAATCTAAACTGAAAACCTGATGTATGTGAGCTAGGTATAGACGCACACACAATCACACAGTGGTGAAATTCAAAGTTTTTAACCTTATCTGAAAACGGACCACTGAAATCTCAACAAGTTGTTAATAGTGTCTGAGAACTGTGATTGCATGTCTCTACGGCAACAAGAAAACAAGAGAGAGAAGACTACTCATACCTTTTCTAGAAAAAAATACTGCCAGTGTGCCCCCTAAGCCAATATGTCATTGACACACAGAGGTAGGTGAGAAAACAAAGGAAATCAAGGGCCACAACTTTTGTGTTTGCAACTTCAGAAAATATATATATATAGTTCCTAGTAGTCACCAAGCTGATCCGATTTGATTTGGGGGATCCTTTCTGACTCAGGATCCCTACAAAATCAGTCTACCTAGAGGTCACACTGTTTGTCTCCCAAGTTCAATGAGATAAATGAGTAAAATCTTGCACCAAAAATGAACAATTTTGAGAATTAATGGTATCAAGTTATTGGTCAAATGGACAGAAGTAGAATCTGCGAAATCACTAGATCAATCAGATTCAACTAATTGCCAATGAAAATGAGATCTTTAGGTTGAATTCAGGTATTTTATGAATAGTCTTCTCAGCTCACTATATTGGTTAGTTCATGCATTATTACGAAATCATAAGTTTTCAGAAGAGTACATATAGGAGACAAGGTGCTGTTAATGCCATGCACTTGCAAATGAAGTTTGAACTAACCCGCCACAAAAAATAGACAAGATCAGTAATATTCAGACGAATTGATAGTCAAACATGTATGAATGTATTAACCAATAATTCTAATAAATCAATAAAATACCATATTTGTTCTATTAGAAGTGTACAGTTATCTCCAATAGAAGCACATGTAAACCAACAGTCGAATAATACTGGATCATTTAAATATAACTTATAATAATCATAGACACACCTGTCATTTATGTCAATGTATGCACTATTAATAGAGCAAATATGGTCTCATATTAGTTTTAGTGATTTTTATAGAAAAAAACCAAAGAACTGAGAAACCTACCTAAACTGAATGGGTGACACAATGATTTTGTTAACAGAGGTGTTCAGATTATATTGCTATTTTTAATACATGTATTACAGACAAAACAAGTCATGCATGGCACAGTCCCCGTTAGTTATCAAATTTAAGATATATAGTTTTGTTTATAGTAATATAGCTGGAATATAACCATGTCAGGAATATGATTATGATGATTGTTTAACATTAAAATGATTGACATTTGTATCTGATCGCCAAACAAGTACTTGTCCATATTGAGAGATATTGCTCTGAAACAGCATTAATTAAAACAAAATCAGCCATTTCAAATACATGTATATATCTGTAACATGATGTATAATGAATATGTAAAATTTGAACATAATCAGTCAAAGCATGTCAGAGATATGGCTCTAGAAGCCATTATTTAAAACAAAATGGCCGCCAGTCAGCCATTTTGAATCATCTGAAAAATAAAATGACGTGCATCAGGAACCTGTAATGTCTATTGTATATACCAAGTTTGAACAAAATCCATCAGTAAACAGCCGAGAAATGCTTGATTTTGATGATTTTTCAGTACAAAAATGGCTGCCATTCGGCCATCTAAAATCAGATTGTGAAAAAAATTGTATGTGCATATGTATAATATTATGTATGAGGTATGTGTGAAGTTTGAACGTAATCGGTCTAGGCATATCTAAGATAAAGGTCCGGATGCACGGACGCACACACAGAGGTCAATCCACAAGTCCCCATTTCGAACAAAAAATAATCAGCTTTGATAGGTGTGACTGTAAAATAAGTAAATATATGACATTATAACATACAATGTACTTACTTAACTGGTGAAATTGAAGGGAATGGTTTTCTACAAACAGAAGTATTTATTAAGTTCATCCCTGTAGAATTTCCTCTCAGTTTCTTTTCCTGCAAATTCCTGTTCCGAGACGATGTGGTTTTTGTTAATCGAGTTGCTACTGGACTGATCGTTTCACCAAAAATTGGACTCGGACTGCGTTCTAAATTAACAGTGGAATTTTTCAGCTTCTTCTCAGTTTCATAAGAAATGAATACGTGTGTATCCTGATCAGCTGTGGGCAAACTGCGAGATTTTTTTGGTATCCGATAGTGCCTTAATGTTGGACTGTTTTCCTATGAATGGGAGAATATTTGTACAGATATATATATATCATAGTTATTAAAGGGCAGTGGTCTTCGCGCTGAGCAAGATATGAGTCGCATATAAACCTAGATCAACAAGTACAAACTGAGGGTTTATTGGAGGGTCGCAAGAGTCACCAGCAGTCAATAGTGCATGTTGCGTCAACCACCACCCTTTAACCATGATGTTGGTGTAATAAAATATACTATTAACTAAGTGCAATTCATTTGTTGCCTTCTCAAACTCGACTCTAATATTAAAACAAACAGCCTGTTGGCTGAGATAGCTCCGCTGTTACCAATGCACATTTCAATTAAAGAACAGAAGATATCATTAGAAAATGAACAATATGTAGACTTGCTGTTTTTAACAAGAATTCAAAAATATCACTTTTCACCAAAAATGACAAAAATAATCATCAAAATTAGATAATTGAAGATATCACCACGAAATTAACAAATCTGAAAGAGGTTCACATGTAGTACCTATATATGTAATATAAAAGCAATCAGACTTGTGGTCTTTAACAAGAAGACGAAAATATCACATTTAACAAAATTGCAAAAATATTCACTAAAATTAGAGAATTAAAGATATCATCATGAAATGAGCAAATCTGAGAGAAGACCACATGTA